CACCAACATCATGAGAACTTTTTGGAAATACGCATTCTCAGGCAACTCCCCAGATTCACTTATCAGACACTCTGGGGTGGGCTTCAGCAGTCTATGTTTTAACAAGCTCTCTGGAAGGTTCTGTTCGTCTACTAAGTTAAAACTACTACTTTACTGCAACAGCATCCTAATTTATCTCCTTGGCTCCTGTCTTCTTGCCTCTTTCCCTATTAATGTTTTTTCCCTTAATGACTTTCCTAAATGCAAATATGCTTACATCAATACCCCTGCTTAAAACCTGTCAATGGTTCTCTCTTGCCCTCTAGATAAAATCCCGACTTCCTAGAATGGCATGCAAGTCTGTCCCTAATCAACAGGTTTTCCTCCCCTTCTGTTGATACCCATCCCCTGCCAAGTGCCCTATAATCTAGGTCACTGTGGTGCCTCCAGTGAGTCTGAGCAACTAGGGACGCTTCAGCAAGACAGAAAGATAATATTCTGTCCAAGTTTCTCTGATGCTTGGCACAGGTGCCTAGTTTGACTAGGTGTTTAGGGCACCCCTGAAATCAAAGAACATCACCCTTCTGCTGTTCTAGGAGCATATTTTAGGGATAAATCCTAATAGCAATTAGTCACCTTGGGGATTCCAAGTATCTCCCAAGCTTTCTAAGTTTACTCCATTCATTTAAGAATGTAGGTTTCAAATTTTGAAATCTATAATTTTGTTGTGACTGAGACACCTAGGTAATGGAAACTGAAGCCACTAATTCATATGAATGGGGCCATCGACAAGGGACATGGTGGTTGTTTTCAGAGTTATAGGAGCTATCAGGGAAGTAATGATCTAAAAGCAATTTTGTCCCCATCATCTCAGTAACTGCTTAGGGGTCTTTGTATGATTAGCAATGGTTTATTACAAATTTCCATCTAGCCCTAATTGGCTCAAATAACATACTTGGCTTCTCAATAGGGTTTGGATTGCCATGAACAAAAATGTTACTGAGTTATAGCTGAAGAGGTCTGGCTTTGAATGAAGCAGTTTTTAATATGCTCCTGCAGCTTCTGTATGTCCATGGTAACAACCATTTCTTCAATGCCAAATCTCTTCTCTGTACCCTGTTAAATGCTTCAGTGGATCTTTTTGTTTAATATTAACTGCAAACCTATTAGCATCAGCACCTTATAAATGAGGCAAGTGATATTTACAGAGTTTTAACTTACCCAAGGTGCCCAAGGGCAGCAAAAGTCATCTTGCCGGCAGCTGCATCTGGGGAGGTCCCTCCCTGTGCTCTAGGTGAAACCTCAACCCAGATAGGGAGGGTTCTTGACTCTGATGGAGAAAGAATTCTCAACCAGGTTGGATAAGTATGGTAAGGAGGGAATTCATTAAAGTGAGAGTAGAAGCGAATGTTGGCAGGCATGCAGGCAACAGAGAGCAAGAGCAGAGGGAGGAAAGGGAAGCTCTTTGAACTCCTACTAGGCATAGGGCAAAGCCCATGCCAACTCCTAAAGCCGAGGTCCCCTGGTGTCCAGTGTCCACTTGAATCTGCATGGCATAGGAACAAGCCCCAAGCACTGCAGGATTTGGGGGAGTCATGGAGCACTGAGTGGACTGAGATTATGTTCTAAGAACTTCCCTATTGGTCTGAAATAAAACAGGGAGAGAGAAAAGGATCATGTTGAGACTAGGAGGCTGAATGAAATCGCAAAGTGACAGACATTTACCACCAAAGGTGGAGTTTGGAGAGTTCTGTCTTCATCACGGAGAACAGTTCAGAGATAAGTGTAATCAGCTTATACAAGAAAGTTTATTTGATATATGACTGTGCACACTCAGATGGGAGTATGGGTGACCTCAAAAGGGAGGTGCACTTAAGGGCTTAGGGTTTGGGGTTTTATAGGGCCTTTTGGGTAGGGGTCAGCATATGGCATGCGGTATACAGGTGACTCATAAGTTTTGTCTTAATAGGGTTATTTAGGCGACTGTGTTAACCTGGATCTTGGCATTTTTTTATCCACATAGACCTCTGAAGTGTAAATTAACCTATCTCTTCTCCTGGTTTCAATGCTACTTAATTGATTAAGGGACTGGAAGAAGAAGCATAACAGCGTATAGATTAAGTTAAAGAATAAGCTGGGCCTTTTTTGCAGGCTAAGTAGATTTTACAATGGCATGACCCTTGTCCCATTTCCCTGCTTCATCTGTCAGACCCAGCAGTCTGACAGTGGAGCCCCTGCTCAGAATCAGAAGGCTCTGCTGCCACCATATTGACTCAGAAAGCCTGGGTTTTGGAGCCCTTCCTGGGATATCACAGTTCCTTAACTTATCATCTTTTTTTCCTTTCTTTAGTTGCTAGTAAAGTTGGAACCCATTCTCAGTGCTTCCTGAGGAAAGGGCAGTTCACACGCTGGATAATGGCTCAGCTCTGATCAGGCAGACACAGGCCCATATCTCAGCTCTTCCACTTAACTACCCTGTGAACATGGGCCAGTGACCACCTCTCAGAGCCGTGTTTCCTCATCTGGAAAATACCAATGTAATGTCCATTTAGGGCTACTGCTGCTGGAGTACACAGCTGGCCAGAAAGCAGGGAGCGGGTGTGGGGGCTTCAGTGGGACGCTTGCTTACATTCTACATATACAAGGTGTCCCCTGGGATGTGGAGGGAAGGTAGAAAAAAACAGATGAACCAAAACCCGCTGGTCCCAACAGGGAGAAGAAACCGACCCAAACTTCACCCCGAAATGCATCATGCCCCTCCATCATTAACATAGTAAAAATCACACCTCCCCACACCAGGACAGACCCCATGAGAACCAAATACAGCCAAAAATCCCTCTGCCAAATGTGAGGGTGGAGCAAGCCCAAACTCCAAAAAAAATCCACCTGTTCTTTGAATACTAATACTGTAACAGAGTGCAGAGAGCATCAAGAGTCAGGAAAAAGAACTAATGACACTTAACCTGACTGCCTAGAGCGAGACCCACCCAGTTTTTTCTTGTGTAAATTACCCGAGGCTTTGGAGAAATGTGCCTACCCTAAGTTAGATAACTAGAAGTGGGCAACAGCCTAGGAATGCCTGGGGATGTAACCCGTGATAAGTCACGTAGACATGCTTGGGTAAGCAAGAGATAACAATTGAAGTGGGCAGGCAACTGGCGCGTTCCCTAAAAAGGTTACAATGTTTCCCATTGGTTACAATATAGAGTGTGTTTTAAACCTATTAGTTGTAGAACTGCGCGGGCTTTAGTGTAACAACTGTGAAGATCCTATATAATCAGTACCCAAAGCTGCTTTGGGGTCGGCAGCTCGGACTCGGCCTGCGTGTCAGGGGAGGTGCTGTCGACCCCAGCTTGCTGGCTGAATAAAGACTTTGCTTGGATTTTCATCTCCATGTCCGTGTGTCTTGTTCTCTGGGAAACCCCGGAGTCCTGGACCCTAACAATACCACTTAGTGAATATTCATCCCCCAAAAGTGGCTCCCTACTGTTTCTTAGTTCCAACCCTCTCTGGGTCTGCACACCCAACTCTTGGGCCTTTCTCTATACTCTTATCTTTCAAACAAACTCTTAAAGCTCCACCATCTTTTGCATCTTTCTTGAATTCTTTCTTACAACAAGATCAAGGACTCATCTCCAGTAACACTGTGAGGACAAAATTAGGTGAATTAATGTATGCTGTCCTGTCTGTAGAATGGTGATGATGTGTTTGATGAAAAGATGCCAACCTGACATAGGAATATATGCATTGTTTCATAAAAAGTTTTCTGGGGATGTGTGCTTATACACACCGTACTCGATCACCGTGTAAAATGTGTTTGCTATGAGTTACAGCCAAAGTTCAAAAGCCACTGCTCTAATCCTCTTGCCCTCTGATATCTCTGGAGTCCCTTTCCATCCTCTTTTCTGTTACTCTTGCATTGAGAAGTGGAATCCCCTTTTCCGCAGAATTTGAGCTTCCTGGAAAAGACATTAGTGTGGGGCAAGCATTGCCTGCTTATAACCTTTTGCCCCAGAATAACTGTGTGTCCATATGGCCCCTTGTGAGCAATAAAAATCCTTCCTCCCAACCTGCCTCTTTCTTGTCTTACTTCGGTTTCATCAGATTCTCCTGGAACTTGCCCCAGGCAGGGACTCCCAGAGCTGTACCCCCTCTTTGGGTGGTGTGCTAAGTATATTGTATGTTGATGCCTGGTGCTGGCCAAATCCCAGCCCACCTGATCTATGGAAACATCTTATTTGGAAGCAGATCCCTCTAACCTAGGTTTTGTTCCTTGGGGTGCTGGTGGCATAAATATGATCCCTCCTAACATAGCAAACTCTCTGTTCCCTCCCACAGGCACACACATAGTCTGTCTCCCCACCTGTCCATAATAGTGGTGCATAACTTGGTCCAGTTCGCTGCTCCTGGACTCCCTGTACAAGTCCCAATAAACCCACACGTCTCATATGGCATTCTGTGGTCTTTCCTTGGGTCTCTTGAGTGCTTTTCCATCTCAAAGTACCCACTTGGGCATGTGATCAGGCTTGTGATGCCATAATTAGGAATACACTCACCACTAGAAAATAAAACTCTTCTTTACCAGCCCTTTCTGAGATCAAGAAAAGAAACCAAGGACTTTTTCATTTCGGTGTTCTAAGCTAAGTGGCAGAAATTTGGTCTGATTCTCAAATGCTGCCCCAACCATTTTCACTGCCATCAGCACCTCTAAGAACCAGATTCATTCAAGACATCTCTGGAGATAAAGGAGGCCCAGCACAGTCCTCTGACCAATTGGCTTGCTCATAACTCTGAAAATCCAAACATTTTCCTGAATGAGTATGCCTGGTGATTGACATCAGTTACCTCATCCTACTTTTTTCTGGCTTTCCTGTGTTCCATTTTCCCAGCGCTTCCTGCTTTTACCTTTCCCGCAAATCTTTCTATTCTTCCTTCTAGCCAACTAACTTACTAGAATGCAAAATGCTAATTTATAATTCTTCATTTACTTTTAATGACAATTACACAAAAACCAACAACCTTTAGTCAATTTAAACTAGCACAACTCTTCAATAATTAAATGGAGATCAAAACAGGAGTTTGGATGACAATTGTTTCCTAGAGCCATTAATCCATCATCAGAGGCATTAAGTTTGCATTGGATTTCCCAGGTTTAAGCAGCACCTCTGCTTAGTGATTTAGGAGCTCTCTTTTATTTGCTAATCATGCAAGCTAATAGTAGAATAGCCATAAATCCAAAAGACATCCTCAGGGAAGCAAACAGCTCTATTAACAACCTGAAACACTGACACAGTCATTCGAGCCAGGGGCACCATTACATATGCAAAACAAGATGAGTGGTACAGTATCCCTTTCCATACAGGATTGAAAAGACACCTGATTTACAACGAATGCAAGAGACACTTGTCACTGTGATATACGGTTACTTTCCTTCATTGCAGACTGAGGGAATGTTTCCATCATATTAGCTGGGATTTTTACTTTTACCACAATAATTATTATTACAATATTCATTTGGGTAAGAAAGGTCTTTCAGAAGAACTCTGGGGATTGCAGCAGAGCCTGGGGTATGGGAGCAGATGTGCATTTATAAAGCACTATACGGCATAATGAGAAAACCATTCTTCCCTATCCTATTAACTGTTGACACTAACTGATAACCAAGAATTACTGACCCCTCACACCCTCCAGTTAGTAGATATTTGTGGAAGGCAGCAGGGAGCTGTGTCACTTCAACCCGTAAGGCTGTACGATGAAAATTTCTGGCTCTGTGGGTAGGAAGGGCGAGTCACCTTCAGGCACCTCCAGGAGCTGGCAGAGGGAAGAGAGGGCAGTGCTCAGGACAGCAGGAGAGCCAGCTCCCATCCTGGATACCACATCAAAGGCAAAGACCTTGAAAAGATACACAAGGTTACCTGCTTGGGCAAAGCAAAGTACAGCATATTCCATTGCTCAGAGAAGGGCATCAGGCTTGAATGACAGGGACAAGATGAACAGGACCTGCTCTACATTTGGTCTGTGCTAATTACCATGCAGAAGTGGTAACTCTACTACTAGAGAGAAATGTGTAACTCCCGGGGAAAACAGTGTTCCCAGACCAGGGCAAATAAGCCAGCAAAACCTGTGAGGCTGATATCAAAGGGGAAAATAATGTGGGAGAAACCTGTTCATTGCTTACAAAAAGTCATCTACTGCTCCCCCATGTCTCTCCCCATCCTGGCTCGACTAAGGGGAGAAGAACTTCTCCCCACCCCTTGTAAACACCTGTTGATATGGAGATGGACTAAGGCCAAGCAAGAGGTTCTGGAACAATTTCTACCCACAAAATGGCAGCTTAACCTCTGCAATAATGAAAACAGGACAGCTCTGATTAAGGCCATACATTGCCAGGAAGAGGAATGAGCAACTTTTCTTCTAGAACATGGTTCTGATCTAAATGTTATGGACGTCAGGGGCAACACTGCTCTCCACTCTACTGGTCAGAACACATCAATAGCGGCAAAGCTGCTTTCACACCATGCAAACACTGAGGCAAGAAACAAGGATGACCTCACTGTTAGGCTGGAGGAAGGAAAAACAAGGACATGCAAATAGAACAGAGAGATGCCATAGGGGGGAGAACAGACCAGACCCCAAAGTCCGTGCCGTATATGGAAAGGGGACAGCTCTCCCTGAATTCCATCCTGGTGTGCCAAGACCCGGATGTCAGCCTCCTCCCTCTTGGAAGGAAAAAAGTTTCTAGTTGACTATTATGTCACCTTTAGCCAATCGTACCTCTCAACACCCCCCCTAAAATAGCTTGCCCACTCCTCCCCCTCCAAATCCCTTATAAACGCCCCACCTCCCTAACCGGGCGTGACTTCTCTGGCCTCTGGCAAGAAGGCCGTAGAACCTCACCCGGGGGTATTTAAATAAATTACCTGGCCCTTTGTTGCCTCTCTTTGCCTGCTTATTCTGGCTAGAATTTACCTTACACTCACACCACTTTTATTCGCTGTACGTGAAAACAGCAAATGGTAGAATTTTTTAGAAAAGAAGCAAACATACATGCGATAAGATGAAAAGCAATCACCAACTAATTTCTGAATATATAGAAGAAGAGGAACCTAAAAATTAGAAGAGGAAGATACAGAATCGCCTCGGGATTCTGAGAGTCTTCCACAGAAGTATTGTTGATCACCTTTCTGGAGCTGCAGATCGAAGAGGAAAAAATATATTAAATAGACAAGTAGAAGACATGTTTCATAGGCCTCTTGCATGAGTGCATCAAGAAGCTTAAAGACTGCTATTAGGTCAAGAAAGCCAAGGAAATGCAGGAGTCCAGGTGACAGCAAGATTTAATAGACTACCACAGGGGCTGCAAAGGGCTGCGTCAGAGAGGTTACAGTGCCAAAAGGAAAAAATATTGGGGTTTTACAGTAATCAGTCTTTAGGCAGGCAGATGTCCCGAAGGATCTGGGCAGGACACAGGCGCAAGTACTTCCATCACTTGGTTAGTGGGACTGGAGCCCCGCGGATGTTCTCAGGCTCTGAGCAGGATGTTTTCCAGCTCCTCTCCCAGCCTGCAATTTCTCTACGAATGAAACTCAAAATATCACAATTAGTTTTCTTGTTTCTGCTTTCTCCACAAGGGCTAAACTAGAGGACGTGAGAAGTAGAGGCATACCAATAGCCCACATGGATTCTTCTGAAAAATATCCTCACTGGGAACCTGTTGCTGAAGTGAAAGACTGTTCGTAATAAAGCAGTAGGAGTGAAGGCAATACAAATATCCAAAGCAGGTTTGTCAGCACAGCTAGACTTAGAAATGATGTCAGAGGAAGAATAAGAAAGCCTTGAGGGGAGTGAATATAATCACCCACAGGATAGAAAGCCTTGAGGGGAGTGAATATAATCACCCACAGGATAAAATTATTTTACAAACATGTACCCCAGCAAAAAAAGACTTCTGAATTATCAAATCAAGCAGATTAATCTTCCACGTTTGCATCTGCAAAAAAATGTCTCAAGCAGCAGAATTGAACAAGGAACATGAGAGAAAGGATGTATCTGTACATTCAGGACTTCCATGTGACCAAACAAGGTAAATTAAAATGGAAAATAATTGAAAACTCATCACAAATGAGTTAAAGGAGAAGTTTGGTAAACTGTGAAAAACACAAAATTGCTACTTATCTTGAGGAAGAGCCACCAATGAAAACTCTGAAGAAAGAGCAAATGTAAAGAAAATACTTTGTTTTGAAAAATAGTATACTGGATTATGATGAAAAAGATGCATCTCTGCAGCATTCCAGGCATTTCCTTAACAGAAAGAAAATGTCTTTCCATCTCATTCATACTCTAGGTCGCCAGGATACACCTGTCAGTCATCTCCTAAGCTTTCTTTAAGTGAAAATAAATTAGACTTTGCAAATGATAACAAACCAGACATTGAACATGTTTTTAACAAAAATGAGGAGAGTTTTTATGACAATGCAGAAAATAAAGTAAGGGGATCCCAGTAGCTGCATTTGAAATGAAGGAAGATGAAGAGGTTGATATGTAAATGACAAAAATTATGAGCCAAGATACCACTGATTGAAAATTAGACATCAAATATGTATCTCAGTCTGGTGATACAAGAAGCCTCATTGATTTGTGGCTTGCCCACTCCAGTGAGATGAAACACACAATTCAAATAAAAAGGCATTATATTTCTGCTATTACAAAAACCTGTAACAAAACCAATACAAGACTTGTTCCAGAAGTCATTACAAATGTTAGACAGAAATGAGTGGTATGAAAAGGAGAGGGCCCCCCAAAAATGACTCACGGAGTTGATCAGATGAAGCTACAGGGTCAAAGAGTGACTCAAGAATTGTCCAGGGTCTCCCCAGATAAGAAACATCACAAGCACGGAGATGGCACAGCCCAGGTCCTCATTTCACCAATCAGAACAAGCCTAGAGACCTAAGAGCTGTCAATCAAGGACCTCTCTGCCCTGCCAAAACCACGTCAAAGAAGCCTCAGAATGAACACCCAAGCCTGTCTCACTTGAGGCAGGCCCACTCTGTGACTCTATGCGGAGTGTATTAAAACTTACTTTGCTTTCTTGACTTTGGTTTCTCGTCTCACTATATCCGACTTCCCTGCGACACTGAGCCGAGTTCCTTCCTCCCTAACACAAACATATAACTGCAGTGCTAATAACTATAAAAGCTTGGGACCCGAATTAGAAAATGTGAGTTCTCCACAGTGTAGTGACAGAACATCAAAAGCATATCTAAGTGAAGAATTACAGCAAGACATGCAAAGGTTTTAGAATGAGATAGGCATGTTACTAGTAGAGCTCCTGGCTTTGGGAAAAGAGAAAGCTCAATTGCAAAAAAGAGGTTGAAGAAGAAAAGCAGCAGCACAGAAGTTGTGAAATGGGAGGATCAGGAAACAACATACGATGTTAATGATGATGACAACAATGGTTTAACTCATCAAGGACTAGTAGAAAAACTGATAACCAGCAATTTCCTATTATGCAGAATGAAGATTCTGATAGTAGTGGTCCTGGCTTGCATCTGAAGGAAGTAAAGAAAAATAAAAATGACAAATGGACATGAAGAGAATCTGTGGTTAAACCAATGTTTGAGAAGGCTAATTCACTAACTGGTGATCTACTACCAGTGAATGAGGACAGCAATTCAAGTTAAATACATCAGTGTGAAAAAGGGCACAGAAACCGTCTGGTAAAAAGAACAGATCAGAAAGTAAATGAATTCAATGAATGACCTTGATGACTTAACTCAGTCATCTGAAACAGCTTCAGATGATTGCAAGTTGCCTTACTCTAATTATTAAATAATTCCATGTTACTAAGTGAACAATTTGACATGGATTGTAAAGATTGCCAGTTTACTGAAAATCCAGGATGCAGTTTTTTCATATAAATGATTAACAGAACTTCAAGTTAATTTTCATATTAATGACCAATGTGGCAAGGTTGCTGTGAGATGGACTTATACTGCTGAATAGATTTACGCACTTTTTTTCAAATCCTTGTTCTGCTATGTTCTAGCTGGGTGACCTTGAACAGATCGTGTAGCCTGACTATGAAAGAAGGGTAATAATTCCTTTATTAGAGGATCATGGGAAGAAGTGAGTTAATAAATGCAAATGACTCAGTTTTTTCACGTTTTGTTCAGTAATAACCGCTATCCAATGCCTTTTAAGTGTTCACTCCCTTTGGCTGTGCAATTCTTGTTGGGATCTTTTCTAAGGAACTTATCTAAAATGTTGAAAAAACTTGGGTATATTATTTATTGTTAAGTTGTTTATTATAGCAAAAACACTGGAGCCATCTAAACGTCCAGCAGTAGAAAAAAAATATGTTGTATCTAAAATATGCAAACAATGCAACTATAATAGCATAGCAAGTGTATATGGTATGATCATTTTAAATGCTGATTTTTTAAAAAACAGTGTGTGAATATCATTATAAGTGTAAAAAGAATAAACTAAACCATAAGCCCCATAAGAAAAGAAATCATATCTATTTTCTCTAGCTTGTCTCCCTATAATGTACCATAATATCTATAAATATCTGTACTGTGAGTGAGTATATGGAAGGACAGATAAATATGTGTTCTTAAAAAAATGGAAAGTAATACATTCAAATATGAAGAAAGGTTGTCCTCAGCAGATAATTTTTGGTGTTTTCTAAGTTGTTCTTTACTTAATTTTGTTTCCTATCTTATTTCTTTTTAAAGACTGTAGAGGAGTTGAATTATCTTCTTAGGTTTATGCCTTTCCTATGGAGACAGTAAAGAAAAAAAAGAAAAAAATCTATATCCTTTCTATAAAGATCCCTTCAAATAGTGGGTGTCAGCTCCAGTGGTTTCAAATAGACTTTGTATGACATGAATCTCCAAACCCTTGTAAGGCTTTATGTACTTCATTCTAGAGTTGTTTTTAAAGTAAGTGAAAAAGCTATGTGCACTCTGGAACTCTGTATACTAAAATTACTTTTGTTATTTTGTACATTCTCTTCCTAATGCATGGGTCAGTTCATTCCCATCTTCAAAAATCTTCTTGCCTGATGAATACAATTCCACTCCTTAGTCTGGCATTCAAGGCCTTCCAAAGCCTAGTTCCAAAATATGCCTCCAATTTCAAGTCTTATTAAAATATTACCCAAATCCTATGCACTAGTCTTGCCAGATTATTTGCTATTTGCAGCATACACAATACAGTGTCTTGCCTTCTTACCCATGTTCACACTGTGCTCTTAGCTTAAAATGCTTTTTCCCTTCCCTCTTGTCAAAATCCTTCAACACCAACACAAACATGAAGATATGAGGCCATGAAAATTGGATCAGTGATGAAAATCAGTCTATAGAATGCTTAGGACTAAAGCCCTTTTACATTTCCAAATAATCAGGTGTTTGGTTTCTGCTATCAAACTGATCAAAAATCGAAGCATTTAATATTCACTAGCTTCCTAATTAGGATCTCCTGTGAGTGAGTCTCATTGATGAGAGAAAGCCATGTTACCTGGCAGAGGTTCACTCAACTCCATTTCATGACAGGAAAGCAAAAGAGAGAGACTGTGTGTGTGTGAGAGAGTGAGAGATGTGGGTTTTTGACTCAGGATTAATGTATCCAGCACTCTGCAGCATGAGCTTATCTGTGTGCTGGGGGGGGTGAGGGAGAGTAATGCATACTGACTAGAAGAAATTTCTGGGATTGTAGAACTATTTTATAACATTTTTAAGAGTTCCAAACTGAAGCTTGGATCACTCACTGGTGAAGGTAGAAGACAGTAGCAATCTTCTAGCCTGGCAGATGGGCCAAAACTAGCAGATGAAGGGGAAAAAAATGAATTTCAAAGGATATTTATTTCTACCTTTTAAGGCATACTTGGAAAGTTCACCAGTAGATGACATTTTAAGATGTTTCTCTTTTATAATGGTTGCCCAATATAAGCTTTCACCCTGCCGATAAGCACCTGCAGGAGATAGAGCCATCAACCCAGAAAGATGGCAACTGTCAGAAGAGACTGACACGTGGCAACCTCCGTTAAGTCGAGCACAGAACTGCCCTCACTGAAGTGCCACCCTCTCTTCTCTCCTTCCTCCTGTGAAACTGCAGACCAGCCAGACCCATTTCTTTTGTCTTGCAATTATCTTTCTGTAATCTTCTAGAGTATTTATAATTTCCATTTTTTATAAGTGTTCAGATTTCCATTCTGATCAGTAAAGACCATATATAACTCTCCCCTCATTTGTATGAAAATTCACTAAACCAATTCTTTCCCAATAAAGATGCAGTGCACTTTTCCTCCCTTTGTATTTCACTAATTCCCTCAATAAGCCCTCACAAAATTACACCAGTATTTGATTTGCCCATGCCTTTTTCCGTTAATTCACTGGTTTGCTAGTTCAAACTATTTCAAGGGTCCAGATAATTGACTGATGCTGACTGGCATTACCCCATCTCTCCAGAAGATTAAACAAAAGCAAAGAGAATTAAATTATCTGAGAGGAAATTCTGAGACAGAAGGAAAAAGCCTCCTGAGTATATAAATCAAATGTCGTAAGAGCTCCAGGAAGTTTACAGAACACCAATCATCAAAATTCCGTAAAAATTAAAAAGGAGTTAAGTCTACCTTTAAAGCCCCAACTTCCTTGGAAGACATGATCTTAGATGAAAGGCCTTGTCTTTCACAAAAATCCTATGACTAAGAGCTCTTACAGCCGCAGGTGCTGCTGACCGCCTACCCAACGCCCACTCTTCCCCCTTCCTTGCCGACAGACTCCGCTCAGGCTTCCGGAGTTGGGTGTGAGCCTGGCCAACGGGATGTAAGTAGCAGTGACTGGAAAGAGTTTCGGAGAAAGCTTTACAGAAGACTCAGACTCAGCTGGCATGCCCCTTTTACCCTTTCCCCTCTGCCTGTTTTCCTTTCTCATTCTTCTACCTGACAGGCAAACGCAAAGCCTAGAGATGCAGCCACCCTCTTGGAAATGCGTTAAGGAAGCCACACGCAAAACACGGCCAAGGAAGACAGAGGCACCAGGCTAGTCCTCCAGCCAGGGATGGCCTCTTCTAGACTCACTGTGACAGGACAAACATAAACCCCTTCTTCGGTAAAACCACTGTATAGGGTTTTCCATTATTAACAGCCAAACCCAAAGCTAACCGATACAATTACATTCCCTCTTCCTCAAAACTGTCTCCCTTGGCTTCTGTGACACCACATTTTCCTGCTTCTCCTACTCTCTCACGGGCCCTTCCTTCCTCTTCTGCTTTGCTGGATCTTCTCCATTAGTCCTCGTGGGAAGACTCCAGGGATCAGTCCTGAGCCCTTTAGTAGGCAAAAATAATAATCCTGAAAGTTGTTCCCATCATAATCCCCAGAACATGTGAATATTTCACCTTACATGACAAAAGGGACTTTGCAGGTATGATTAAGGATCTTGATATGAAGAGACAGATGATCCTGGATTCTCCAGACGGGCTCAAGGACATCTCAAGGATCTTTATAAAGGAAAGAGGGAGGTAGGGCAAGAGTCAGAATCAGAAAAAGTTGTAACTGTGGAAATGGAGGTTGAAGTAATGTACTTTAAATATGGAAAAAGGGGCCACAGCCAGTGAAACAGGGAGACTCTAGAAGCCAGAGAAGGTGAGATAACGGATTCTGCTCAGAGCCTCCAGAGGGGGTTCAGCCCTGCTAATACCTTGATTGCAGCCCAGTGAGCCCCATTTTGGACTTCAGACTTCCAGAACTATCAAATAGTAAATCTGTGTTGTTTTAAGCTACTAAATTTGTTTTAATTTGTTACAGCCATAATAGGACATTGACCCATGCCCTGTTCCTTTATTTACATGTTCTTCCTAAGAGACTTCAAGGCATCCTGTGGCTTTGGAAACCATCGAAATTCCAAGACTACCACATCTTTCTTGCAAACCTCACCTCTCCCCAGGAGTCCATATTTGTAATCCAAGTTACCACTTGGAGCAGGGCAGCAAGTAGGATCCCTTTTACCAAATATAGACTTACCTAAGCCTGGTTTTGTCTGAATGTATTACCTGTTGAATTAGTCTATTTTTGAATTGTTCTGTGCTCCCCGTGTGTGCTGATGAGGTAGCATCTGATGAAGGTGAGGATGCAGTTGACAGAGTAGGCCACTGTCTCCTTTATGCATTTATTCTTTCATCCAAATATAGCTATTGGCCTAACCTAGAATGTGCTAGTTGCCATGCCAGTCCCCAAGGTGGGTAAGAACATGTTTTATTGTGTGCATCTAATAGATATCTCAAACTCCACAGACACTTGAGGACCCCTGATTTCCTCACCTCATCCCACATCAGCATGTCCCTATTCCCCCCAAAAAATCACTCTGCTCCTTTGCTAGGCCTCATCTCAGTAAACTGCACTGTCATGTACCCAGGTGCTCATGTGAAAAACCTAAGAGCTTACCTTGCCTTCATTCCTCTTTTCCACACTCCACACAAATCCTATAAGGAGAAGCAAACCCTATCAGATGCATCTTCAAAACACACCCAGATGCATCGACATCTCCCCTCTTCTGCATCCTCTGCAATCCAAGCCTCTGGCCTCTCCCACTTGGAATACTGAGACCACTTCCAATGATCTAGTCCCCACACACCTACCAGAAGTACATTTTTAAATGTAAAGTAGACCATGTCACTCCCCTGCGTAACACCCATCAATGTCACCTTGGTGCACTTAGAATGAAAGTCAACATGGCTTTCAGAAACCTTCTTCCCACTCCCTAACTCTCCATCCTTGTCCCACGCTTGGCTTGCTGTGTGCCAGCCATGCTGGCCTTCTTTTCAACATGCCAATCTCCATTTTATATTAGGGCATTTCCACCAGCTTTCTTCTCTGCCTAAAACTCTCTCCCTCATCTTCTTTCTCAACCCTTTAGGTCTCATCTCAAGTGTCACCTCCTCAGGGAGGGTTTCCTGATCACTCTATATAAAATAGTCATCCAATCATTCCCCCAAAAGGTATATTTTAATTCTTTGCATAGCATATATTCCTATATAATATTTTTCCTATTAGCTTATTCTGCTCCCTGCCCAACCCCAGGAGAACATAATACTCATGACAGCAGGGACTTGTCCTTTTCACTGCTTTGTGCCCAAATCCTCGAAAACTGCCTAGGTGTTCAACAAATATTTGTTGTCAGTGAAACTTTTCTCCAAGACCTGTCATTGCTGCTCTAATCTAGTCATTAGTACAAGATGTTTCACTGTGATTATTCTTATCAAGCAGCATGATGTCTGATTGCCCTTTGTACTTTTCTGTCCCCTCTATTGTCTTTGAAAATAAGGATTACAAGACTGGTGCTGTGATGGATACACTCTGGCCAGTTAATCACTGTATCTTAATGAATAACTGGCTCAACCAACCAATGAGTAAATTAACAAATCCATGAATTGGCAAATGAATGAAAGAGGACAGTAGCCCAGCTCTGTCACTGCATTCTTACTGTATCCTCAGTTGTTGCTTCTCCACACATGAGGGGCACATAAAGATGCAAAAAAAATTAACTGGTAGCAAATTCAAACAAAACTAGGCCTAGTGAAGCCTGCAACCTGTAAGGGAGCTGCTTAAATGAGTCTGGTGTTCACCATGGTCCGCGCACAGTCATGCAGGGCCTCCTGAACTAGGTATCAATGTAGGGCAACACACTAAGGATTCTTGCTTAGGACTGTGGGGGATTCTCAAACCCTCATTTTGTAATGAGATACAGCTCACTAACTATACCAATATACTGAAAGCCCTAAAAAATACCAAGTGGATTCTGATATGTCTCATTTCACTATGAAACTAATAATAATATAATTGCATTATTATCTATACAGCACACATTTATGGAGAACTTACTAGCTTCCAGAAACTTTGCTAAGAGCTTTACCTGAGGTGTGCTAGTATCACTCAGTTTGAGAAACACAAGATCACTCAGTTACTAAGGATATAAACCTGGCAATCTGACTCGTGAGCCCACACACTTAATCACAGCACTAGCCTGAATTAACCAAAGCAGGGCCAGGGACTAGCCAGACTTTGTCAGATGGTTCTCTGCTAACCCTCTTCTGAATGGCTTAGCATGTGGGCTCCCATCCCACATAGCCTGCCCTCTGCTGGGATGTCTGGAAGTCTTATGTTTATTTCAGGGCTTACTATAAAGACTTGAGTTTCTGCTTATGTTACTTACTCACATTCTACTGGCTTTGCTTCCCTCCCACAGGTTCTGGGTCACACTGTGCACGGCTTCTCGGCGCCGGGACTCCCTGGCTCTCCAAACCGAATGCACTCTTGGCTCTGACGTTCCCTACGCTGTAGTGGAGCTCTGGCAACAGCATCACATATTTCAAAGTCCCCTTGACAGGAAGGTATGTATCTGCTTGAAACAGAAAGTTGAAATGACTCCTTCATTAGACAGAAACATGGAGGAAATGACATTCCCCACAAAACACTATTTAACAAGCCCACATAAAATATTTAACTGCTTCACACCCAGTTTTGAACAGGTTATTCTAGGATACTCTGACAGGAGTTGGGCTTTTTAATCCCATTTGCTAGATTCAGCATTTCCACCCTGCAGCCCACAGTTGTACCTGCCCTCCAGCCGATGCTCCCTTGGCACTCAGGCCGTATCGTCACCCACTTGTCTTTCTATAATGCTTTTTTGCTTTGGCATTTGGCCTTTTACCCCAAAGGAGGTGAAGATGACATGGATAAAAGACTGAAATGCATAGCTCTGCTACCTTTTTTCCAACCAAAAAAAAAGTAAAAGGCACGTGGTCTCTACATCATATATCTGCTTTGCACTCACATTATGGGGGTGTTCAGGAGAGCCTGGGAGAAACCTGACCAAATTGGAAAGGAAAAGGCACCAAGGTGGTCAGCTCTCAGTCATGCTTTCAGGTTGATATCAGCATATCTTTTAAAACCAAATAACATGAATAAGGAGTATACTGAAAAGCTCAAAAAGTGCATCTACATCTTAACTGCTAAAACCTCCTGCTTTGCCAAATCCAACAGTTAACTTCAAAATGGGAGCCGTGTGGCTTTAAGAAAATTAAAGCCCTAAACATAGTAGAAACATAACCAATCACTAATATCAAAAATAATTCACATCTATGTTGCTTTGTGCACAAGACATCGCTTATACAGAAAAAGAAATATTAGGGCTTTGTGGCATGGCAGCTCCTCACAGCTGACAGAAGCCTGTTTCCTTAGCTCCTCACAGCTGACAGAAGCCTGTTTCCTTATCAGTCCTGCCAGAGTGCAATTAAAGACAATAGCCAGAGCAACTGTATTGAAAAACAAGTCATTTGTCTTCCCTTTCCACCACCTCTTCCACTCACCTAGTTAATCTGAATATGGCATCAGCTCCATCCTCAAAGCTTCTTCAAAAGGCAGAATAATAGGAAACATGTATCTGTTTCCCACTGTGGTTTGTGCAGGTTGAAGAAATAGTTGCTTTTATCTTGCAATTACATTATAAAATGCAAGTAATTTAGGTCTGGAATTTCAAAGCTCCTGGGATAGGGCAAGCTTTTGGAGAATAAAAAAATTATCTTCAGGGATTGAGAGAATCTGGGGAAATAGCTTATTCTCAGTGGTGTTCTGGAAAATGCTTAACAACAGGCTCTCTTGAGAGAAAGCCCTGATTTGCAACATTTCCAATGTCTGCAGTGTAAACACTCCCACCGTGGCTGATGTCAGGATACCAACATGACATCATTGAACCCAGAGTTGAAAAGAGACGCATGATGCCATGATACAGTATTTCCACCACACATACCACAGATGTACATAATCTCAAGAACAAAGATAATAATAGAATGTAGTAGAACTAGGAAGAAGGTTTTACTATTACCTTTGCTTTTAATGTGATTTACTGAAGTCCTATGTAACTTAAATTTTTTTAATGACTATGTGTTTGTCTTGCAGAATTCTTGAAAACAGTCATCTTTTATAACCCAGTACAAACTGACTCTGGCCACCCCTATCTATACCATATTCTGACTGCCATATTACTAGGAGTAACAAATAGCCATCTAGTTCTAACAACATTCATTTCTGCAACAATGGAATTTGGTAATTCTTTAATAATTTTTCTGAGACCTATCTTTCCAGAATGATCTCCCTGAAGCCAGAAAAAAGAGTAATCTAAGAACATGTTCATGTGTTGTACTAAGACAATGAATACCCAGTTACTTTTCATAACCATGACTGTTGAGACTGTACTTTGTAACCTTTTCATCATCAGGCATATATAACCAAATGCTCATAGGAAGTTTTGTTTGAGGTACCAAGACAATGAAGGCCAGATCCCAAGTGAAATGTAAAGCTATGCTGAGGTCTTGCAAAAGAGGCGATCAAAAAATGTTACCTAAGACTCCTAGGAAGATGGAGTTGACCTATTTTTCCCTAGGCCTCCAAGTACAGCCAAAAACCCTGGATAGTATAGAACAAATGAAGGACTCTAAATAAGGAGATGAGGAGACAGACCAGCTAGGGCGTGACACAGTGGCGAGTCTCCTGGCTTTTACCTTTTTGCTCACAAATCCCAGAGAAGATGCTGAAAAAGGCAGACTACACAGCCCCCCAGAAGGCTGTGCTCTCCAGCCAAGGGACCTTGTGAGGATGGGACCACTCTGTACCCTGATGGTACTGATGTCAGCATCCCGATTGTGATGTTCCACTATAGTCTTGCCAGATATTACCATTGAGTGAAGATGGGTTAAGGGTACATGGGATCACTCTGAATTATTTCTTACAACTGTATGTGAATTTATAACTATGTGAAAATTAATATTTTAATTTAGAAAAAACTACATGTCTCCTACTCCCTCAGTTATATAGGATATAAAAGGGTCCAAAGTCAGAGATTAGGAGATTTGGGGGAAGTTATTGGTGTACTAGAAGCCTAACCTCCCTCCCAAGGTAGTATGATAATAATCGGGAACATTTCGCCGATTCCTGTACGTCAAAATAGAGGGGCTTTAAGAAGACCACTTGGAGAGTTTGAAATTTGACCCCTAGAGATGGGGAGATATAGACAGACTTCCACCTGAAAAATCTAGAAGGCAAGAAACCTAGCTAACTAGCAGCTGTCGTGAAAAAGCAAACAAGCAGCGGCTGCTGGGGCAGGCCAGTTCCCTGAGTTTGTGGCATAGAATATATGTGACTATTTTCTGTGGACCAGGTGGGGACCAAGCACAAGATCTTGTCCAAGAGAGTCCCTTGAGGGGCAGAAGGACCTCAGCAGGAAAAAGCTAGAATACTTCTGAGTTCCTCAGGGAGTTTTCCTAAGCCTCCATTCAGAATAGAAATACCCATGTCAATGGAACGGTGCATTTTCTCTTCTGAGAGATCAAAAACCAAGGTCCCCAGTGTGGGGGAGAAAAAGCAAAAGTCCTAGATGGGAAAAGAACATGCAGCAGCAAACTCTATATAATGTTTATACGTGGAGTTTTCTTGTGCCACCACGAGACAGCAAACATAAATGATTGGTTCTCAAACTGAGCAATCCTGAGGACTTTGGAAAATGAGGGCTCAAGTTCATTTCATTTTCAATCACCACATAAACAGGTCAGGGTCTTCACTGCTGAAATGCATTTTGACATTGTTTTTTAATTAACATAATTATAATATAAACAGCAAGGGTAAATTCATTAAATGATTCAATGGAATCATTTTTTTCCCTACACATATTCTCTGAGGTTGAAGTCTTCTATGAGAAGACATACTTTAGGCTTCTCTCTTCCCTCCCCTGCCCACCTCACAACCTCTGCTCTGAACCCCACCCCCACCCCATTCTCTTCTACAAACAAGGGAAATTCTAATTACAGTCATATTCCAGGGCACAAATCATACCACATGTGCTAGTGGGTGGGCCACCATGTCTAAAAGGGTCAGCACATGAGTGTGCTCTGTCTCTTCTATGTCTTGTTTATATGATGCTGAAGTGATGAGCTGACTCATATCTCCACCACTCACTCTTTTAGGGTGCTGAGATGACTCTCAAGAAATCTTAAGGGGAAAAAAGGAGGTTGTAGGAAATTACTATAGTATGATAATAATACCATGTTTCTTTCCTGTGTTTTCTATCCCATCCTTTTTTTTTTAAGCATCTTAACATACTTTTTTATTTTGTAGCCAGTAACTATAGCATTCAAAATTCTGTACATTCTAATTCAGCTACTTGATTTTTCTGGTGACTAACTCACGTGGGTTGTCTCCTTGTGTGTTTTGGGCTTTCTGATTAAGAGCTCATGCTCCGTGGAGCTAGAGCTTCCCTCTGGGGCTGAGCTGAGGGGATGTGTGTGCTTCTCACGGATGCCCTGGGGCTCTTCCCAAATTAGGACTAACTTTCATATTAATCTCTTGGCTTGAGGATTCCTGGATATGAATTCCAATGCCCAACCTAAGTAAAAGAAGCTCTGTGATTATATATTCTCAAGAATACCCTTTTCCTGCCCAGAGGAACTGACACACACCAACTGCAATCGCAACTCCCTTTGCAGGTGGGTTGATTTTTTTTTTAGTTTACCCCTTCCTGGAGGTTCAGCAGTTCAAAGACTGTGGCTTTATGCTGGGGTTTCATCCCACATGTCCAACATCCAGAACTAGCTCTTGTTCCCATCAGCAGAGCCACTCAAACCAAAGCTCCTTGACTACAAGGACCAGCAAACTTCCTTAGGCAACTAATACTTCAGCACCCACTTTCTCCTCTGGTCTGTAGTTCACGTCTTTTTGTTCCTTAGAATCTCTCTTTCTTTTGAGCTCAGTTCCACTTCAAATGGATATCTGTTATATTTTACCTACTTTCTTGGGCAGTCTGTGTCAGGAAGGATTCTGGTCCTCTAATCTCTAAATTGCCAGAAAGAGAAGTCCAGCATGTAGAGAACTAAATCAATTTGATGGCTATTATATAGTCTACTGGATCAATGCTTCTCCAACTTTTATATGCCTAAGAATGGGCTCAGGATCTTGGTAACATCAAATTCTGATACTAGGTCTTGGATGGGGCCAAAGAGTGTACATTTCTAACAAGATCCCAAGGTGATACCAATGATGTGAATCTGCAGACTACACACTGAATACCAGGTTTCTAGATGGTTGTGTAATTATCTGTAGATTAAAATTGATTGAATCTTATCCTTTATACTTTTCCATGTTCTCTGAACTTATTTTAATGATATGACAAACAATAATGTTATTTCCATGTTTAAGAAAACATATTCAGTTTATAATCATCCACTTTATGGTTTAGGATCTCATTATCCCACTAGATCTGCTTCATTCCTCCTGTATTAGTTTTGTTCATGACTGTGTTGTCATGTAGAAAAATACTATGACTTCCCTGGAGGCAAAGAACTATACCTGTTG